CCCCAAAACCCCAAAACCCCAAAACCCCAAAACCCCAAAACCCCTTCGGAATGATTCTTGATAGCTGCTTGAATAAATATTTTTAAATTAATTTAATTGTATTTAACAGATATTTATGAATAATCCATTACATTTTCCATTATCAACGACTCACAAGGATTAGGTTAATTTTAATTTCCACCCTTCTCAGGAAAAATAGCCTCTTACTAGGAAAAAAGCTACAGTTAACAAAATTAATGCTAACGAGGCAAATAGAAGTTCTAAAAAGAAAATAAACTCAGCAAGGAATGATAATAATATAAGTATCACAAATTAAACATTAGTGAAAAACCAGGTTAATAATTAGATTCATCCTCAACATCATCCATAACTGTCTAATGCCTATGCTACTCAAACAGCCAGAGTTGATAGTTCACTTTAATAAGTATCGCATGCATAAAATTTCTGCGGTTTAAACAAGAACTTGAAGAATTTGCAATTAAAGCAAGTTGACAAAATTAAGATTGCTTTGAATTAGCCTTTAACTACCAAAAATTCCTCCTCCACTAAGAATTCTAGTGGAGCCAAAGCAACCTTCTTTAGTAGAGTTAACAACCTTGGAGGAAATAACTCAAAAGTATCTCGGAACTAAGATACTTCGTAGCCAGCACCTAACAGCCTCATGAGCAAGATTCCATAACTTACATGCTTCAATTAGACCGTAATTGAGGAGTTGACAGATTTTAAAAGTGAATTTTCCGCAAAAGCTCTTGCTAATCACCAAGTTGCTTCAAATTCTCACATTAATCTAGATTACTCACCAAGGCCAGTAAAGCTGAATCTGAAGATTAAATCAGGAAGTAGCAAAGGCTACATTTCAAAATAATAGGTATCAGGGAAAATCCCAAATACCACTAACAGCGGAAGTAATAACCACTAGTAAAATAATATTACAAGATCAGGGATCCAAAATAGTCAATTGATTACTCATGACACAACATATATGATCGGTTGTAATCATAGAACTGGAAATCTCATCTAGAATGAATCGATGAACATGTCCAATCTTAACCTAACAAATGAATACAGCTCACTTTCACCAACTAGTAACGGTGGTATTAATCACCAACTTAATAGCTCTCTTCTTGCCAACCAGAATTCAAAAGACCCTATCAATTAGCGTCTATTTAGAAAATAAAACATATTTGCCTCTCCTGAAACTGGCTCTCTGAGCAACAATATAGATAATATAGTCAATGGAATAGGTTGCTAAACTACTAAAAGTGGTGGTGCTACGAATAAAAGTTTTAATCTCAAAATAAAATTAAAGAATGAATCATCCTATAAAAAACTTAAATTAAGTTCGACCAGGAAAAACAATATACAAGGCATGGGCCCGTCAATCCTGAGATCTAATACTAAAGATGAAATCTTAAATCAATCTAACCTGAGTGCACCAAGAGAAGCTTATAACAGTAATAACAAAATAGATCATTCTTAGATGGAGACTTCGAATATAATTGATGAAAAAATATCGGACATGAGTTTCTCCTAAAATCTTAATGAAATAATTGGTAGCCTTGATGAAAAAAGCGAATTTGTAAAAATGAAAAATGAACTATAAGAAAAAGATGAGTGTATTTAGGAGTTGCTGAGAAGAATAGATCAGCTTGATAAGAAGGTAAATACTCACTCATAAAATAGATTACCAATTGATAAAGATTTTCAGTAACAGAAATCTATAAACATAGTAAATCTAGCTGTTAAAGGTCAACAAAAGCAGATGATTTCTCCTATTTCAAAATATGCAAAAGTCAACAACTTTGTAGATGAAAATTAATCAGAAAAAGAAAATATGAATATACTTTAAAACTTAGATGATAATCATGACCAAAGGGAGAAACTGGATAAGATCTAAAATGTACTAAATAACCTCAATGTCAAAATGCTGAGATTCGGTGAATAAGGTAAACTAGTTGAGGAAGAAATTAGAAGAAATCTAAATTGCTAGTCCACTAACACTCTCACTACTGAAAGATCTTTAGCTTAGTTATCTGAAATGATGTCTATTTAGGATTACCAATCATGCATGGAGAGCAGGATGGACACATATACATAACCAACTGAAAGAGACAGTAAAGATACTTAACCAAAGAGCAAATATTAGAATCATTAACCAGTGGGAACTTCTCATAGTCATGGAAAGAATAGTTCATCATTTAGTAAAACTTAGAACATTAAAGACATTTTAATGAATATGCACATTGAAGATGAAGAAACTAAAGTGCTGATTGAGAGTGCTACTGCCTCACTGAATGTCTCGGTCTAGATTAATATTGATAACGAATCAAACATTGATAAGTAGACTTAAAACAGCTTGAAAAAGGCTGACAAAAAATAACTCATTTAAGCAATTGAAGCCTAGTAGAAAAGATCTAAAATTAACTTTAACAACAAAACTGGAAAACTATAAAATCTCTAACTTGGAAAAATAAGTGGAATGCCAAATATTTTTTAGGTTAAATCAAGAGAAAAGACTCCTATTGCTGGAGCAGGCAGTGAAAAGCCATTCTAAATTGTACTGAACCAGTCAAATATTTTGAAGAAGAAGAGTGAGCCAAGAAAAGAGGAGAAAACTCCTACTTAATCAGGTAATAATCAAATTAGTAAAGAATAATCAGAAAGCTTGAGAATGGTTTAAGAATAACTTGGTTAATACCAGAAAATAATTAAAGATCAAAGAAGTGAACTTGATAAACAAAGAAAGATGAATGAAAAGCTCAAGAAGACATTGGTTATAAATTAGAAAAAAATGCAATTAGCATGAAAAATCATTATCATATGATGCATACTATCATAATATTCAAACGACATTATAACCTCAATTTGAAGTTTATTTTAATTAATATTTGCTTGTTTTATCAATAATTTAACTACTAGCATACTTTCTATATCTTTAAGTTCTACGAATATTATCCTTAACTATTATAAGCCTTTAGCAAATATAAAAACTTCTAAATAATCCTTCTAATGGCTAAAGATGATTTAATAGTTTGCTAAAATTTATTAAAAGTAGCTCATAATAATCAATCAATTTATATCAAATAGTAATCTTATATATTCACTCATTTCGAATAATTTAACTATTGCATAGAACAGCTAAGCTCATACTCAGTCTCAAGCTTAATCCTTGATTATAAGGCGCTTTCAATTAGCCTCAAAGATATCAGGAGGATCGAAGAAGTTATCCTGGTTGCCCATATTTTACCTGCAAGTACCATGTATAATTGAAGTTAGCTAATTAATTGTCTCTTTCATTTTCATAATCTAGTGTTCCTTGTTTCTCAACTCTTGTTACATAAGATGCTTCTGACGTTCATTGTCAGTCATCCGACCATTGAATATGTTTACTGCTTTCTTGAGGATCTTGTTATCCTGATTCAGACTCAAAATGATCTTCCTGGTAGTTGAATCCATAGCCAACTTCTAGTAACCTTGCTTATCATACTCATCTATATCAAAGCCAATTAAATGTTTAGATTATTACCTGTGTATTCCTTTAGTGATTAGGCCATAATGTGAGTAGCTTATTCCAGATTTTAAGCTTGGCTTATTCTATCTGTGATGATGAGTGCTCCTTAACCAATAAACTATTCTCTTTCTATCTTGTTGACTTATTACTACGATGATTAGTTATGTTAGTTTTATTGACTGCTAATCTACTGTGTATTGCTTTGTCTGCCTGGAGCTTATGCTGAGTTGGAATCTTGCATAATTTCACCAGATGGGGAGGCTATTTAGAGACTACCCTGATCATTAGAGTTCTCATCCTTTAAGTCTTTAAAGTTTTCGAAGTACAAACTATCGATTTAAGCTCCATGCTCTGCGCTTGCCGAGGGCTCCATTGAATTACTCCCGTGGTTTTGAATTTATTAATCCTATTCGAAGTATTAGTACTTATCGTATCAGAAATCGAGTGTTCTGCATTAATCAGAATAAGATGATTATGCTCTGACTTACAATATCGGTGAATATTTTGAGATTCTTTAAACTCTCAATTGTTTCCAATAGCTGTCGATCGCTAACATTAACTATATCTTAGAGGACCTATTAAAAAAAAATGGTTAGACATCTCTTAAACTCAAATGATATAGATTTAGGATAGGGGTTAACTGATAATTACCTTTTTCTCCATATAGAACGTTTATTTTTAATTATATTTAAAACTACTGTCGTAATTTACTATTTATCAATATGTATTTCTCTCTTCTGGGGTTTTGGGGTTTTGGGGTTTTGGGG